CTTAATATCTACTGTACTTGAGTTTTTGCTGAAGAGTAGATTTTAGGCACTCTTGCCACACACACACAAAAGTAGGTGAGATGATGGATACGTTAATTTGCTTGACTATAGTAAACTTTTCACTATCTATGTATCCCAGACATATTTTACACCTTAAATATATATAATAAATACCTTTTAAGAAATGGATTCATAAGAGGTATTTATGTATTCCAGATGTTAATCTCTTGTTAATATATGCATTGTGAATGTCTCATTTTTAGAATCCAGACCATTACTCTTTTCACTATTTATAGGGTGATATTAGGAAAATAAATTTTAAATGCTTGTGTAATTGAAGCATTTAATATTTTCTTCTATGTCTCAGTTTTTGCACTTGTAAAATGTAACTGACTGTGCCTACCGCACAGCATTGCAATGACTGAGTGAAGTAATGCATGCAAAGCACTTATCCCATAATAACTGAGTTTTTGGCTTGTAAGTGTTCAGTAACAATTTGCTGTTACTATTATGGTACCCTTTATTATGCAAAGACCTGTTCGGTGAAAGAAAAATAATTTTATGTCTGGGAGAAAAATAAGTAAAATAAAATAAAATAAAATAAAATAAAATAAAATATGCAGCATCTTTTGGGGATTCACATACATTTTATTTTTTAATTTTTAAATTTCCTTTTAAAGATGAATTCTATTGCATATGTTTAAGGTTTACAGCATAATGTTTAAGGATACACATCGATAGTAAAAATGTTACTATAGTGAAGCAAATCAACATATCCATCATCTCACATAGTTACCCTTTGTTTGTTTCTGTGCCAAGAGCAGCTAATGTCTATTCATTTAACACGGGGATTCACATACATTTTAAATAACAAAACACAGACAGATATTCTGTCATATTCACAGGTGAAATAAGGTAACTGAATGGTAACTTAGCTGACACATGACTGCAGGTCAGGAGAAATATGCAGAGGCCTTAGAAAAGTAATCATCTAAAGTTGATGTGCTCTAATCCCTCATCTCCCAAGATGAGGAAAGTCAGATCCACAGTGGTTGCAACATTCAGTTAACAGGGAAAAGCTAGTTAGTAGGAAAGCCAGAATCCAAACCCAGGCATGCATAACAAGGCCTAGTTCAGTGAAGAGATCGTTATCCAAAATCAAACAGAATGACCACGGAATTCTCCTAAGGGGCTATTTCCTGCACCCATGTGCACCTGGGTTTCTCTGCCAGGCTTTGTGGTCATGTGCCCTCAGACACAGGTGTCACCTGATATCTTCTGCTTCAACATATTCAACATTTTGAGTAGGTGGACTCTCAGTTTGAGACAAGTTGTGTCAATGATCTGGTGGAGCTCCAGGAAAAGCAAGCTTCTGGCCAGGCACCTGTAATCCCAGCACTTTGGGAGGCCAAGGAGGGTGGGTCTCTTGAGCTCAGGTGTTCAAGACCGGCCTGAGCAACCTGGGGAAACCCCATCTCTACCAAAACAACAAAAAAATTAGCCAGGCAGGTGGTACGTGCCTGTAGTCCCAGCTACTTGGAAGGCTGAGGCAAGAGAATTGGTTGACTCTAGGAGGCAGAGGTCGTAGTGAGCCAAGATAGAGCCACTGCCCTCCAGCCTGGGTGACAGAGTAAAACGTAAGGAGGGAGGGAGGGAGGGAGGAAG